TAGAAAGAACATTCATAATTTACAGGCTAGAGATAAAAAGTTTATTTTAAACCAAAATAAGCCAACAAAAAGAATGATATTATATCAATTAATCAGTGAGAACAGGAAAAAGCTAACAGACAACAAAGAAAAGGGAGAGCCACCAATGCCTCTATACTATTATTAGCAGAGTTGAATGGCATATGCAGAAGCCATTCTTTGTGAGATCAGTCAATGCAGACCTGTCCTTTTGAGGCTCTTTTCTAGCTGGACACTTGGAAATATACTTCTGCAAGATATACAGTACAGTTTAAGCCTTTACAATGCCAAGGCTGTGCATACCTGTCCAGGGCTTGTATGCCTTTTCCAGGAGAAAAGTTTCCATTCACATGTTCCATTTCTTTAATCATTATAAACGCTTGAAAAAGCCTTTGAATCCCTTCCATATCTGTGAGAAATTGCATCAAACCTAGGAAGGAGAGAAAACAGAGAAACTTTTTAAATTACCAAAGACTTAGTCTTTATTTATTTAAGTGTTAGTAATATTGTTAGAATGCCATCAGTAGTGGGTTCCACTTACTTTCGCTATTGGTTTGGAACTGTGAGTGTGCATGTACGCGCCTGCTTCGCTCACGCATGGTGCTTCTGCACATGCTCAGAACCTTCTGCACATGCACAGAGATCTGTGATGACATCTGGATGGGTGGGCGGAGCCTCCCACCGCCGCCACTACCGGTTCGCCAGAACCAGGGCGAACCAGTAGAACCCACCACTGAATGCCATAGAATCTGCACTTTAAAAATAGGTGAAAGTGTTTTTTTTTTCAGAACATTTTTTAAAAAAATTTCTGAAATCTGTTTTGTCAAGCAGAAATGTAATATAGTGACTGTAAGGAGGAACATGACCAAAGTGATTCCTCTCTACTCCATTAAGCGGAAGGGGCAGAGAGGAGAATTATAACCAATGTACAGTTCAAACATTAAAAGTGATAGAGGACATTTCATTTTTTTTATGACTCTTTCTTTCATTCCAAATATTCTTTTTCTTTTTGTCATTTTTCGACTTCCTACCTCTCTGTGAAATGAATGGATTGTAAGGTGTTTTGGATTCGCCCACCCTCCTCTCCCCTAAAATATAAATCCCCTCCTCTCTGGTCAAATGGCTTACATCTTCAACAATGATGATTCCCCCTTTCATCTTTTCAAAAATCAATATAGAAAAAAAAAGTCTCCCTAGAGCTCTTTCTGTGGTCTCTGAACCCTTGTACTATATAACTGTTCTTCTGCAGTATGCATTAGAAAAAAACCCTAAACTATTGTACTGTATGCTGGATTGTGCTGGATAGCAAGACTGTTCTTATCAATTCAACATGTTATACTTTTAGAGTAATGATGAATTGTGATGAAGCATTGGTGTACAAATGTGAAAGGGTCTTCCAATCTAATTTTGAAATACTGAGTATTGTTAGTGCTACAAAATGTTCACTCAATTTCCTTATGACATGAATGTTCTCTTAACAAACTGTCTGACTTTTCATGAATAATTAAATTTGTCTCTGTTATATGCAGTGGTTAATAACGGAAAATGATCCCGAATAAATGATATGTATGCTTTAGTCACTTTTCAGAATACAGTCCCAGCTTAACAACCAAGTATAGATGTCAGCTACTAAAAATTTTATGTATCCTTCTCTAAACCCTTTCTTTCTTTCTTTCTTTCTTTCTTTCTTTCTTTCTTTCTTTCTTTCTTTCTTTCTTTCTTTCTTTCTTTCTTTTTTTCTTTCTTTCTTTCTTTCTTTCTTTCTTTCTTTCTTCCTTCCTTCCTTCCTTCCTTCCTTCCTTCCTTCCTTCCTTCCGTCTCTCTCTCTCTCTCTCTCTTTCTTCATTAAAGATAATAGAATAAATTGTATTAAGATATAGTACAGATTTTTGGTCAATATTGGAAAAGGGATGTTTTGCCTACTATTGAAGAATGGACTTTGAAGGTGGCCAGTTTTGCAGAAATGGCGAAGATATCAGCATACTTAAAAGACCAGACTCAAGAGACTTATGTATGGGAGTGGAAGAAATGGATAGACTATGTGCAGAATAAATACCAAACTAGGAAGTACCAGATAGCTTTTAGTTGAATGTTGTGTAGAAATGTATAGTATATAGGGGGTAGAATAGTTTAATGTCATGTAGAAATGTATAGTACACAGGGGGGAGAATAGAAGGGCGGTAAAGTATGATATGATATAAAATGATTTGGATTTGGATTTCACCTTGGGGAAGTCATGGGAGGAGGGGAGGGCTAGGGAGGGAAAGTGGGGGGGAAATGGGAAAATTTGTATTTGTAAAACTTTTTCAATAAAAAAAAAGATATAGTACAGATTTAATATCTAACTAAAACTACATACATGAATGAACTACATGGCTATGAATATGCAAAAAGAACTAGGACAGCCAAGATCATTAAAAGGCTGCTTGGTTTAAATGAAGATATAATACAAGCAAAGCACCTCTTTGTTCTTCTATGCCCTGTTTCCCACAAATCCTCCAGCAGAAAGCTTTGTTGAATGCTGCAAGATAATATACCTCTTTATTGATGTTAAGCTACGTTGCCTTCCTTAGGTTTAGAAACAATTCAGTGTGTTTTGAGGCCTGAATAATCAGGTAAAGTAAAAATATTAAATTGCATAAAGTAGGTTGCAGAAAAACTGCTTTTTGTAGAAACACTACAATATGAAGAGTTTAATTTTAAGATACAAGAACAAAAAATAAAACTCTTGAAGACAAGGGAGATAGCATGATTGCTAAAATAAGTAAAAATATTAACAGCTGCTCCCTAAATATAGATTAGGCCAGCATTGCAAATGAAATAGGTTTTAACATTTAATGGCTTGAAGGCCACAATCTTAACAAGAGGCTAGAACTCATATTTGAAAGGTGTTTCAGAATTTGTAGGAACATGAAACATCCAGAAGGACTTATTTTACTTTATTACCCTCCACCCATCAAAGCTCTCAAAAATACAGAAAGCAGATCCAAAACTTTGTGACTAGATAAGACTAAATGGAACTCATGGGGGCTGGACTTGGTCTCTTGTGGATGTGTAAGGATTCTAAACTGATGACGCATTTGATCCTGCTTTTGTGCTCTGACCAGTCATCTGCTACAGATCTCATGCCTTTATCCAAGTTTCCTCACCCATAATATTTTTATTTCATATGAATTAAACATTAGTTTATATTATCCTTCATTCCCAAATTGCCCCCAGTATTCATAGCTTCCTTGGATAATAAATAAGAAACAATATTTTGTGAAAGGGGGAAATATTTTGATGACACAGGTCTATCTGCAGAAATGACCTTAACACAGATGTCTTCAAACTTGGCCGCTTTAAGACTTGTGGACTTCAACATTTTTAAATGTAATCTAATTCTGGGTTTTATTTAATTGACGAAACTAAGTAATAATTTTAATTAGCAATTTTATGATGTTTGTGTGTCTATATTTTTCTTGACTGTACACCGCCTTGAGTCCTACGGGAGAAAGGTGGTATAGAAATATAATAAATAAATAAATAAATAAATAAATAAATAAATAAATAAATAAATAAATAAATAAATAAATAAATAAATAAACAAACAAACAAACAAACAAACAAACAAACAAACAAACTCCCAGAATTCTCCAGCCAGCTATTCTGGGAGTTGAAGTCCACAAGTCTTAAAGCGGCCAAGTTTGAAGACCTCTGCCTTAACATTTTTTTAAAAATATTAATTTAATTTTAAATTAATTTGAAGAATAAAGGATCACAATGAAATTATTTATCTCCATTTGTTAAGCTAATTAAGTACCTACACATTAATGTGATGTACTATAATGAAAGGTTCCTGCTTATATTATTCAAAACTCTCCATTTTCCTGAAGGCTAGGCTATGCTTATTTAGCAGAGCTCTTTCTTCCAAGTATGTCAAATCTGTGTCCAAAGCCCATGTTTTCTTCTCTATATTAATCATCTTCCTGTATTAATAATATGCACTGTGATCACCTATTTGATGATCACCATAGGAATTGCCTATCATCACTAGCGTCAACAGCTGCTAATGAAGATCAAGGTCATTCTAAATCAAGGACATTCTAAAGAAGAAATCATTGTCTAACCACAATTATCCATGCTTCATTAACATTCAAATTGCATTTTTCCAAGTTTTATACATGGGATCACCTTTAAAGACCAACTGGAAATTTAAAGTTAATTAAAAGTATGTTTACTATATTCCAGATCAAAATTAGGTATGTTGAATGTGATAATATTCCAGCTCTGGAGCCTCTTGAATGCGTTCCGCATGGTCAGATCTTTTAAATTGAACTTTTCAAAACAATCTTTTTTCCTAAATTTACTTTTAATTTAAAGTAGATTATTTATTCATGGCTACTTTTATGTTTGACTATGCTTTGTCATCCTTTATGTTCATTTGATACTATTTTATATTTTTTGTAGATTGATTTTATTTAATAATGTTTGAGTTTTTAATTATCAAGCTCATTTGAGCATAAAATAATAAGGCATATTTAAAATTCTTAAACAGAATTTTCATCTATCCAAATTTCAATACAAATTGGGCCTTATTAATGTAGTAATATAATATTTTACTTTTAATGTGTTATTTTGCCCATTTTGTGTTTGTGTTCCTGAGAAACTAGATGATGCCTATTAAATAGGAAGAAAAAGGGCTAAGAATTTGAACAATGAATATAAATAAGAAAAACAGACCTTGATTTAAAATGACAAAATCAGTAATATAGAAGAGAGTTTTCAAACAAGTACTTATACGTAGATCACTAATTTCTTTCCCACCCTCCAAAAAAAAAAAAAGAGTTCCTATATCCCAGAAGCAAATTATCATGTTGAAACATTACCACATAATATGCTGTATTTTCAAATATGAGTGCCATTGGGGCACAACTTTTCTCACCTAATTAGTTGGCATTGTCATTGTTTTTTGTTTAAACTTGCAATATATATTTTTTCAGGTATTCGGTGAACATTTGGAATCCACACTAATGTCAATCATATGAATGGAATTAGAAAAAGATGGACCATTCTGAGAAAAACTACAGAAAAATTAGAAAAACGCATCTCTCATACAATTTCTGCATTTTTTTTTACAAAATATGCCAATCTATAATTGCTAAATTATTAAGAATGATATCAAATCAAAATGGGTTTTAAACTAATTGCTCATACAGGATTCTGATTTCTATAAGCAATTAGTTTAAAACCAATATCATTCTTCAGAGCAACAGATACCATGACCAGATGAGAATTTTTCTCCAACTGAGTCCAGAGACTTTTCTGCATTGCAGCCTTAAAATGCTTGGGTCTCATGCATAGGCATGAGTCTCATGCATAGTTGGGAAGGATAGAAATTAAAAGTTCACTTTCTTAATTGTAACCTGTTTGTCCTCTTTGGCCATGGTGGTTTCTCAAGAGTAGATCAGTGAATCCTTATCCAACTTTATCCTTTCCAATTCTTTTGGAAAAATAAGCACAAATTGTCCTTCCTGTCTGTGGTCAGTTTGAGGACCACTTGCAAACTTTTTGTATGTACACCCTTCCAATGATTCTCCCTCCCTCCAATACATACTATCTTTCAAATGCCGGATGTAAATAAAAGAAATCACCACTCCCCACCCCAAACATAATTTCCCATTCTTTCTGCCACTCAGGTAAGAAGGGAAAAATGAATAAAAGAAAAGAAAAGAAACATTCACAGTTTCATGAGGGAACTTTAAATGAACAAAAACAGTGAACTGGTAAAACAAAGAAATAGGAGAAAACTGGACTTACTCATCAAGGTCCTTTAAAAAGAGGCCGGTAAGATAGAGAAAAAAAATGGCACATCCGAGAAAAGTGATCAGTAATTCAAATGGAGAAGACATTCTTACCACAATGAACAGTAGCTAATAGGTGGAATAGATCCTTTTGTCTATGGTACAGTGAAGCAGATCAAGTGAACTGGATGGGACACTTGTGCCAGCTAAGCCAACATTTGATGCAAATAGGACAAGACAGGCAAAGTTTGCCTTTCCAATGGGCTGGGATAGGCTGAGGATAAGAGTGGTGTTCCCACCATAGAAAATTAGTTAGTGGCCTATACTTGCACTGAGGACATCAGCCTAGAAAACCTTTCAGGGTAAATTTGGTAATTGGAAGTGCTGAATGATGCTAGAAAGGAAGTTTTCATAATATGAATAAAATTGCAAGCATATGCAATAAGCTTCTCAGAGTCACTTCAAATTGCGAGGTGGGCAGCAAATAAATTTAATAATAAATAAAATCTGGGGTGTTTCTATAATCCATGAACATATGAAAATAATTAAATATTATAACATCATTTCAACCTATTCAAGTCCATTGCTTTCATGGACATTGTAAATACAACATACATTCTGCACTCGGAGAGGAGGGTTCATCATTTGTAGCAGACAGTGCCATTTCATTGTTAATTCAGAATACTGCATTGTTGTTTGTTTTTTCCTGTCTTTGCCAATTTGCAAGCTATATTGTCATGATCTGGACAGGACAATACCGTGTTTTCCTGAAAATAATACTGGGTCTTATATTAATTTTTGCTCCAAAAGACGGATTAGGGTTTATTTTCTGGTTAGGTCTTATTTTTTTGGGGGGATATGGTACTAAATGCACCCATCCGGCTGACAATCTTAACTGGGGCTTATTTTGGGGATAGGGCTTATATTACGAGTATCCTGAAAAATCATGCTAGGCCTTATTTTCCAGTTGGGTCTTATTTTTGGGGAAACAGGGTAGCTATATTATTTCATATTAAATATTTGCCTTTTAACACTTAAAATTTAAAGTAAAAATTGTGTTTTTCATTTTTAAAAAGTTTGGTTTTGTAACCTCTGAGATTTATTTTACTAGCAAGGGAATTGTGAGTTGATTCTCCAATTACTAGACTACATAGGTATACTAAACATTATTTCAATTTCTGCATATTGGCCTTTTAAAGGCAACAGATAGTTGAAATAATGAAACCACTATTTTACACATGATTAGAGTGTGGACACCAAGTGATATGTCCCCTTGAAGATAAGTGGTGGAAAAAATAACTATTCCCACAAGACAAAAGATGGGATCAGTATTTGAAGCCCAAATGACTTCTGAAAAATGTGTGAAAAAGGACATGAATTAATAAAGAAATAAGAGTAGGTATGTTTATGTTTTTAAAATTAAGAGAAGAAAGGGTATAATAGGTATGATTGGACATGGTTTGAACTTTGAGAAGTAGGAATAAAGCAACTGATTTTTGTTATAAATAAAAGACCTAAAATATATGTCAGAAAATATCAATTGGTGTCATACATATTGTCCCAAGTGCATATAAAAATAAAAATCTATAGGTTTGTGATAGCTGCAGGTTAAGCTATGAATATTAATATTATAAGAACTTAAATTAATGTTGTCTAGTAGAAAAATGAGTCTGTTCAGTGGCATGAGTACTTAATTTTTTATGTTTTACTCTTTTTATTTTACTAGGCTTATGTTCTATTCCAATTCTTTGAATGGTTTGCCACATTAAGCAAATATATAATAAATTAGATAGGATTCCTTTAGAGACCCAAGAATGAATAAGAAGCTGGCTGTTTACTGAGTACCTATTTGAATACCAAAGTGAATAACTAAGGAGAAAAAAAGAACAATCTTGTTGATCAGTTGTGTAATATAGAAGGAATGAATGAGGCTCAATTAACAAAGCAAATATATTGGGGGGGGGGAATGAATGGGTTAAAAGAAAAGGGAAGGTTCCAAAATAGTGGATGAATGAAGTTAATAATATCTTGAAAAGAAATATAAGAAGTTTGAAGAATAAAAGGTAACATTAGTAAAGGTGGAAAGATTCAGAACAATTAGAAAATAGAATTAGAGTATATTTTTACATCTTTTAACAAAGCAATCTTTAATGTAAAAACATGTTTATTTAAAAAATTCAAAAGTACAAACTAAAAATACAAACTAAGAAAAAGGAACAGGAAAAAACAGTTTTATACCTTATATTTATCATGAATTCACAATTATAATCTGCTACATATAAAGCGTAGGACATGGAAAATGTATGTTATGAATTTTTTTTCAAACATTCTCCTATATGTTTCTAGCTTTTCCAATGTTCTTTGCTAAGGAAAATAAGAATGTGCAATAGTACAGAATGACTTCTGAAACTTATAAACAGCCAGAAGAAATAGAAACTGGAAATAGGAAGTATTATGGATAAAGGTAAAATAGTTCCTCAGATAGCCTGGATCAGTGTCATGAGGGGTTTTAAAGGTGATAACAAACACTTTGAATCAAATCAATTAAATCTAGAACCAATGAGAAGTGACATAAGAGCCTTGGTGGCGCAGCAGACTAAAGTGCTATTAAGTAGCACCAGTTACTTAATTACTACAAGTTCAAATCTCACCAGGCTCAAGGTTGACTCAGCCTTCCATCCTTTCGAGGTAGGTAAAATGAGGACCCAGATTGTGGGGGCAATAAGCTGACTTTGTATAAAAAGAACACCTCTTGGGGGGGCCGAAAGCCCTACTAAGCAGGTATATACAAAAGTATGAAGGCTATAGCTTAACGCATTGTAAGCCGCCCTGAGTCTCCGGAGAAGGGCGGCGTATAAATTGAACCAATAAATAAATAAATAAATAAATAAATAAATAAATAAATAAATAAATGCCAAATTGCAGGCATATGGCAGTCAGCAGAAGTAGCCTGCAGTACTGCACTCTAATCACTGTGCAACATCTTTTGATCTTGAGTTTTGAACTATCATTTTGCCTTTGCATTCTGTAAGATTTACTTGCTTGATTTAATTTTAATTGAATTGACTAAAATAACAACAAATTACAAGCCTTAGAAATTTATTTATTTTATTTATTTATTTGATTTGATTTTTATACCGCCCTTCTCCAGCAGGACTCAGGGCGGTGAACAGCTGAGATAAAACATAACATATAAAATTTTAAAAACAGTTTGAAAGACATTAAATAATTTCAGCCCTCAATTTAAAACAACCCAAATTAAAACCGAAAGGATGGGATCAAGCCAGCCCAGCCAGATGAAATAGATGTGTTTTCAAGGCCCGACGAAAAGTCCGGAGGTCTGGTATCATGCACATCTCTGGGGGTAGGTCGTTCCAGAGGGCAGGTGCTGCCACAGAGAAGGCTCTCCCCCTGGGGGTCGCCAGCCGACATTGTCTGGCCGACGGCACCCTCTCTGTGCGAGCAAACTGGCTGGTGGGAGGCTATTGGCGGCAGAAGGCGGTCTCATAGATACCCCGGCCCTAAACCATGGAGCGCTTTAAAGGTGGTCACCAACACCTTGAAGTGCACCCGGAAGACCACCGGAAGCCAGTGCAGCTCACGTAGGAGAGGTGTCACATGGGAGCGCCCCGTCGCTCCCATAATGACGTTGAATCAATAATGTAATAATATACAGCAGACTAAAAAACTGGAGAAGATAACAAAATACAAAGACCAGCAAATAGAAATAGTATGACTTGGTAAAAGAAAGCAAAGGATAGTACCAATAGTAATGGATGCCTTGAGTGCAGTCCCAAAACAACTGGAACACCACAAACACTATCAGCACTGACAAATTCACCATCAGTCAATTGCAAAAGGCACTTTACTCAGAACAGTTTATATCCTGCAACAATACCTCTAATACCATCAAACAATAACATCTGCTTGTCCTTTGGAATTACTTGATAGGTGGATAAAAATGCCAAATCTTGTCTGAACATCTGGATGATTATGCAACAAACCATATAACAGAATAAACTAAACTTATGAGACTAAGGAATTCACTCAGTGTTTTGTTATAATAACTGTTTTGATGTTATCTTTTAGGGCATAACTTTGTAGAAAATGTTAAACTGTGAAATTGTCTTTTATAGAAGCAAATTACATTACAAACATCATACCACGAATAAGTCTGAGGGCTTATTATTCATTCATTAGGATCAGTGTTGAATGGCTGATTAGGAAACCTCTTATAAAGCTTGTTTCTTTGTTCGTTTGCTTGTTTTTTTTGAGGATTCTATTAATTCTTTTCTACATTGTGCATAGCATTGA